TGGCGGGGCGGGCGTGTGTCGTTTTGTCGTTTTTTTTTCGTTTTTCGCCGGCGCGAGCACCACCACGCCGTCCGCTTTTTTGTCTCTTTTCCCCCCCTGTCGCCGGTAGGAAGATAAGGGCAGGACGAGTGAGAAAGGGAAATGCCAAAGGGCCACGAAGCCCGCCTGGCGGCTGTGGCTGCACGCTTTCAGGAAATTGAGCGGGCCATTGCGAGACCGCACCTCGCGCCCTCCGCGACAGTGGGGGGCCGCGGGCGGGCGCGTGCCGCCTCCGGCGCGCCCGTTAATTCTCACCAGGCAGCCCCCCGGCCCCGGCGGGCTGCCAGGCGGCGGTTTATTTTTTTGGGTTTTTTTTTTAGGCGGGGTGGGGCAGCGCGCGCGGGGGTGCGTTCGCGCCTATCTTCCTCAGTGGCGGGGCCGCGTCTCTTCCCGTTCCCGGGTCTACGTGGGAGCGGGGTGGGCGGCCGCCCCTGGTTTTGTTAAGGGGTGTTTGGGAGGGTGCGGATGCGCGCTGCTGTTGTACCTTTAAATTTGTGGTTTAGTGCCGCGTTGACCCTAGCCATTGTATTCGATTGGTGTTTTTAAAAAGTTCTGCGAATTTTATTTTATTTTTTCGGGTCGCTGATGTATGTTTTTTTTACTTTTACTTTGGTTTGTTACCACTTATTTTTCTTATTAAAAAAAATAAGAAATTATTTTCCATCGTTATTCGTATTAACCGTAATATTTTCAGCTAATGTTGTTTTTTTTGTTGATTTTTTTTAAATATTACTACTGTTTTTACAATAGAGGGCCATATATTCATAATTTTGATCAGCTGAACTCAAACGAGAAGAATGGATGAGGACCTTAGTTTGCAACATGCTATTTATTCATCATTGAAGAGTAGCCAACCGTATGTGCAGCATATGCAGACACGTGGTCTTTCAACTAATAGTTCGTTAACAGTGAATCGGCCTCGCAACGGTTTGCGCAATGCCCTTCTACGTGAAGGTATTATGCCTACAATTCCGCGATCTGTTCAAGCTAGAAATGTGTTCACTATTTCGAGTTCACAGTATCGTGATTCTTTGCAGCGATCCGAAAGGACAGGGCCTCTAGATGAAAATCCAACTTCAGCAACTGCACCCGTGCAGTTTCAACCGCCAAGCGATCGCGTTCCAGGGTGGACTCAAATGTATACAGGAGGCCGCATTCAACGACAAAACACTTTGGGTTCGCAGTTGGTATTTATAGGTACGGAAGTTCATTTGGAACAAACTCCAAAAATTAATTGCAGTGATTTGTTGTTACTTCGGGCAGTAGCTCCACTGCCCAATGATCAAAGTATGTGCTGTTTTAGTGCACAAGTACAAAGTCTGGTTTCTCCAGGGCATTATGCCATGTTTGGTATGGGAGTCACACCCAATGCCGGAGAGGAAATGCATGGGTTTCCGCTGGTTTTAGTTCATTTTGACGCATCCGGAGCTTCTTTTATTTCAGTGGAGCGGTGGCGTGTGACAGAGCAGGAAACATTTGAGCGTTTAACAGTTCTGGAGCCAATGAAACCTCTTCGTCTAATCCGAGATCGTGTCACTTTGTCGTTAGTTATTGTTTCGGAATGTATGAGCCTATCTCTCAATGGTGAGCTTTTTTATCCAATGCTTTCGGCACAAGGTGTGCGTTTGGGAGAGGCACTTCCAATTCTTCTTTCATCAGGTGGTAAGTTATTGATACGTGATGTGGCAGTTACAGAAGGAGATAAACCACCTGTAAATCGATTATACGGAAGAGGTCCAACCTTCACATTATCACCGAAAAAAAGTGATGCAGCAAAAAAAGGCCAATGTACCGTGGAAGAGCGACATTCTCCAGAAGGAAGGCTTTCTCAGACGGAAACTCGTTGCCCTTACACAAAAGAACGCGCCTCAGCAGTTCACAAGAAAGCATCTAAGGATAGACGAAATCGCACCGTGGATAGCGGCCTTCCCTCCAGTATTAATCCCGAATTTGCACAGCGTATTGAGTCTGAAATTATTGAGCATTCTCTTAATGTAAAATGGGAGGATATTGCAGGAATTTCCGATGCAAAGCGAGTATTAAATGAGGCGGTGATTCTTCCACTTTTGGTACCTGAACTGTTTACAGGAGTTGTAAAACCATGGAAAGGTGTACTGTTGTTTGGGCCTCCTGGAACAGGAAAGACGATGCTTGCTCGAGCTGTGGCTACAAGCGCAAAAACAACATTTTTTAATATAAGTGCATCGAGTATTATCAGTCGATATTTTGGAGACAGTGAAAAAATGGTTCGGACACTATTTCAACTTGCCCGCCATTACGCGCCTTCGACAATATTTTTTGATGAAATAGATGCTCTTATGTCTTCTCGAGGTGGAAATGAGCATGAAGCTAGTAGACGCGTGAAAAGTGAGATGCTTCAGCAACTTGATGGATTAGCCACTGAAAGTGAAAAACGTGTGATGGTTCTTGCTACGACAAATCGTCCATGGGACTTGGATGAGGCTATGCGGCGGCGTTTAGAAAAGCGTATTTATATACCTTTGCCCGACGCAGAAGGCCGTTTGGAACTTCTTAAGAAGCAGACTTCCTCCATATCATTGGATCCTAATGTTGATTTAAGTATTATAGCTGGTGAACAAACTGTAGGATTCAGTGGCGCAGATTTGAACTTATTGGTTCGTGATGCAGCGATGATGCCGATGCGCAAACTCATTGCTGACCGAACACCTGCCGAAATTGCAGCTATGAAAGAAGATGGAAGAATGGTATTGCTTCCTGTTACAATGCAGGACTTTGAAGAAGCAGTAAAAAAGATTCAACCCTCTGTTTCTCAACAGTCTCTTAAGGATTTTGAGAGATGGGCTGAAGAACTTGGGTCCACATGAATTTAGGGGTTCCAACATTCAAGAAGAGTGTATTTCCTGCAGCGTATATATTTATATACATATATATATATATATCACTTTTGCTTAGGGATAAAAAGATCCATTTTTTTTGTTTGCGTTTTTTTTGCGTGCGTTTACGTTATATCAAGGGCCATTGGAAGATATACTTGGTATTATATCTCCTTTTTCACCTTTTTTTTTTGAGCGATTGTTTTCGCAATTCTTGTTTTCTGCTGATGATAAGTGAGAATCTGATTTTTATCTTATATGCCGAAGGGTAATACAAAGCAAGTTAGTTGTAAGCGGGATTTTTTCTCTTTTTATTGTATTGCTTTTGATTTTTTGTACTAATTACCCTGGCCAGGCATTTATGGTTATACACATACAGGAAAAAGAAGAATAAAAGACACACTCCTGGAAGTGTGTATGCATGTGTATATATGGATTTGTTACTATTATTTCTCTTTCCGCCCCTTTTCACCACGCACTTTTGTTTCTAGTGAGATATATATATATACATATATATATATATATATATATGGACAGTGTCCGTGAATTTTTATTTTGCGGAAAAAAAAATTTTAGATGCCTATACATTGGGCAAGCTGTAAAAAATAATAATAATAATTTTATTATATGGTTTTTTAAGGTATTCTTTTTTATCTGATATTGTTTTTTTTTCCTTTCTGTTTCTTGTTTGATAATTTATATATAAATATTAAGGGTTACGTGGGAGAGAATAATAATAAACAGTAACAACAATAATAACTATTGCGTTATTTTGCACATCTTTGTGTGAGCTAGCAGATGACTGGAGTTTTGTTGGGTATCTTCGATGGATACATGCCCCTAGAACGAAATGCTTTGACATCCGAGACAAAAATTGGCGGTACACCCACATTCTTTCCAACTCTATCTGATGCCCAGTGTGCCACTATACGAGGATGGACAACATGCGGCGTATGTGGACACCCAATGTTTCTTCTTTTACAGGCATTTAGTCCGTTACCATCAGCATCTGCTTTGCATCATCGGATGATTTACATTTTTTGTTGCAACTCTGCTGCTTGTGTAAGGCAACCATCCGCTAGTTGGTGTGCTTTTGCTCTTCAACTGGACGCTGTGGATGAATCAGCTTTACAAGATGAACAACTCGAAGATGTTTTTCAGGGTGACCCTTTGCTACCATCTGAATTGCCACCCAATGCTTTCCCACCGTGTTTTGTGGATATCATTCCTGAACCGAAAAAAGAAATTATAGTTCCATCTGATCTAGAGACAGAATTGATTCGCAATTCCGAAAAAAATGCTCAAAAAGCCGGTATTACTGAGGCTGATGTGAAGGAATTAGAAAACACAATTGATTTGAGGGATAAACCCTCTGACTATGAGTTTGAAAAGTTTCGAAGAAGGATAGCGAGGGAACCCAAACAGGTTCTTCGTTATTATGTGCGGGACCAGTTAGGCAAACAAGAAAATGGTCTGCCAGTACCCACCGCTTCCCCACTTTTCATGAATCCTGGAGCTGTGCGGGATAGTGTTCGAATTCCATCGTGTAGCAGTTGTGGAGCGGCTCTCACTCACGAATTACAACTCATGCCCACCTGCGTGTATTATTTACGTGTTGGGGAATATCTAGCACCTGGCCAATCAAAAGGGGATGATGGAGTTGACTGGGGTTCGGTAACAGTCTACGTGTGTTCCAAGGATTGTTCGAAAGACATTAATGGTGTAGTTTTACTCAAGGCGTTTGTGCTTGTTGAAAAGGCCCCAGAGCTTGAGGATGAGGAGAAGGGGGCAAATGGACGAAAGAGCCTTCGCTCCATTATAGATTGTTCATGATAATGGTGAAGAGTTTTTTTTCTTTTTCTTTTTTGTACTCGAGTAATAATAGTAATAATAATAAGAAACGGAAATAAAATAATACGGAGAAAACAAATGGTAGAGTCAATAATAATAATGTCATTTCTTTATATTATATATATATATATATATATAATATTAACATTTTCTGTTTTTATTTTGCGAGAGGGTGGCATGATGGTGTTGAGCTCCCTTGTGTTTTTATCCAGTCTCTTGTTTCAGCTATTGCTTTTTGATATCTTTTTTTTTTTGCTTTGCTTTATGTCTTTCTCTTTGGCTTCTTGACCTGCTTTTGGGCGTGGTGGGAGGGGCAGCTAACCTAATCCCAATACTTTGTGGTTGGGCCACGTTAGAAGGTTACAGTGTCGTTAAGGAGAGCGTATAACATTGTAAGACGTCTAAGGGGGGTGGTCAATGATTCGGGACAGAAAACAATCTTGTAGAAGAGCCACACTTGCGGACATTGTGGCAGGAAGACAGTGTCTACATGTGCCGCAAGTATCAACCACTGGTAGGAGGTCTCAACGCGCCTCCTTATCATCAACGAGTTTGGCCATGCCACCAATCTACGCAAATACTGAGGGTCCCCCAAAAAATAACATAGTGGGAAATGGAACTTATTACAGCTCCAGTTTGGAGGTTGGAAATTCAGATCAGGGGACGACGGGAAACACACGTGGAGGGAAAATGAGGTGTATGCCTGTAAACGGGAATGGTGTCCGACGTGGTAATATTATACAACCTTTGAAAAAAATGGTCATTCATTCTACACATGATGATGCGGCATTGAAGCCGCTTTTTGAGGCGAATGCGAACGCGGATTCCTCTAGTTTACATGATCAGTGGGAGGCTCTCGTGGGGCAATTACTCCAGACACAGAAGGAAGCTGGCGACAGTGCGACACAATTCCCTGAAAAGTTTTTGCCAAAGTCGAGCAATGACGGGATGAAAAAGGGGGATGGTAAGGTAAAAAGAGTTAAAGGCACAGTCTCTTCACTGGAGCACAGCGAGGCCTCAACTGAGCAGAACAGTGAAAATCAATTTCATGTCAAGACCAATGATTGCCGTTTGAATCTCACCAGGGCGCATTTAGAGACAGAATTCAAAGAGAGGTGGATTACCGGAAGTGAAGCGGCCGATAACGCCCTCTTAAAGTTGTTTATTTATTGTGGTGCTCTCTATCGCGAAGGTAGGGGACTCGAGCTGTCTGCTGACGATTTTAGACACATGTGCGTTATCCGACAAAAGATATTGCCCCCAAAACGCATCTTATGGTATGCGATCTCCAAGATAAGCTATTGGTGTTCACAAAATCAATGCTCCAACAGTCATGTGATGGATGGATTATTTATCACACCTCCACAGTTTCTGAAGCTTTTACAAGATGAACTTCGTGGCATTAAGGGTGTATCTAGAGGACACGTTAACGCATCGGATACAACTCTCCCGGCAGTATGCATGGTTCTTGCTGCACTGGCACCCAAGATATTGCAGGAACTTTGTGGCGGCAAAGTGGTGGATTATCTTCGTCACCCTTCAACAGTCCAAAAGACATTAACGCTGTTGGTGGTTTCTGGTGAAGTTCTTTCCAATTCTAGTGGGTCTTGTGCTGAACAAGACAAAACAAATGGAATTTCTGGACCGTTTTCACCCAGAGCACCAAATGACGCGAAACGTTCACAGGTTTGTTCAGTATCTTTTTCAACAGGCACACCTCTCTCCTGCAATGGCAGTTGTGTTGTTGCTGAAGGCGCTTCATCTGGCAATGAGGATCTCGTTGATGAGAGAAAGCTCGTCGCGGTTTCCCAATTAGAAGCAGCGCGGGTTACGCATGGAAGGAGGGAGACTCCACGTTACATGAGGCAAAGGCCGCTTGACGAAATCTCTGTTTCTGTTATTGCAAGATCCAAGGCTCGTAGACTAATCGATGAACTTAGGAGGAAGGCTATCCCCATCAATCGTTACGAGTGTTTTGCACGTATTGAATATGTTCAAAAGAGCATCTTTAATGACGCCGGTCTTAGCGATGAAGACGAGAATGATGACGCTGGGAGTAGTGATCAAGCGTTCGAAGCAGTGACTCGTCAACTCCATAATGCCATTCGTTACAAGACCAAACCGCCAGACGTGGGAGGTCCGTTGTTGCCGGGCATGTACAAGATGGGTGGGTCTGGTCAACCCAAACCACGGCGGGCAAGGCAGGAGACGTTTGAGCGTCTCCACCAGCAACGCTTTGGTAAATTTTCTGGGTTTGGCATCTTCTTACGGCGTCGATTTGCACGTGCTCCTGATATTAACGTCTCGGAGGCATGCAGCCCGGGTGAAGAAGACGCACATGTGTCAAATCAAACCATCCCGATAAAAGTGGGAACCTCACCAACGGTGGGTTCTCATGATGATCGACTGACACATCAGACAGATACGCCGGCCTCTTCATATGAGACAGACGTGCGTGGGAAAATGTCGCGGCGGAAATTACGGTCGCAGGTAATGCTAGCAGATGTATTTACAACACCTTTTGCTAGGTATGCAATGATGCCACAGCGGCCGTTTCCCAGTTGTGTCGCTGGCTTCACAGTGAAGTAAGAGGTAGAGTTGAAAAACTTGGCTGAAGAGGAGGAAAAACATGATGGCGTTCAATAAAAAGCTGCGTGGTGTGGTGTTTCTAAGAAATACCATTATGACGTTAAACTCATCTAGAGCACGGGCAGGCCATGGGTATTGGCGCTGGGATGGTGATGTATCTTGACAGTTAATGACGTTGTTTTTTTTTTCCCAGTTATTTCATTTTTTTTTTTCTGTTTGTTGGAGCAGCAGTTATGGTAGATGGGAATAACAAATGGGAAAAGGCGTGTGTGTGTAGAGTTTCGAGTGGGGCAAAAAGGGTTGCGTTGAAAACACACGCGCACGTATACTGACGCAGAGGAGGGGGGCGGGGGAAGGAAGCCACTCCTGGTCCTTATCGTTCTTCCACATCACATTGTGGGTGTCGTCAGGCTTCCACATGTACGGCGTTGAAGGGCACTGAGGTGTCTGCGGTGGGAAAACGACGACGACGACGACGATAACGGACAGGGAAAGGGGGCTCAAACGATACGAAGAAAGACGAGAAGATGATTTTCTCTTTTTTACTTTATAATATCCCCTCCCTCTTTTGTTTTGTTTTGTTTTGTTTTTTTACTCTAACTCACTCTTTTGGTTCAATTTGTATGTCATGGGGACTTCTCTAGATGCTTGGCAACGTGGACATGACCGCCGTCGGCAGCGAGCGTGGGTGGTACGGTACCTTTGCACACTATTCTTGTTTTGTATTCATTACTTTTTTTTATTATCGTTTTTTGGTTGTGTGTGTAGGGGGGGGGAGGGAAGAGGCAAAAGCAGTATGGCCCGGAGAGAGAGTTCTCTGGGGGGTTGTTTCCGTCGACTGGGCTACATCTATGATCTTTCTCCCCCTCCTCGTGCTGGGTGAGTTCGTGCGGGATTGTGAACACGGAAGACTGCAGAAGGTGTGTGCGGCATGGGGGCGTAAGGCTTTCCGTGTCTTTTTTTGTTTCTGCTGTTGGGTTTGGTGTCGTCGCCTTGCCGTCTTGGCTGGTGGTGCAGTAGTCTCCTGGCACTCGCTCGGGGTGCCTGCATTACCCCCATCACGGGGAAACTAGAAGGGGAGGCTGCAGTCACGGACAGGAGCTGCGAAATAGAAAAAAGTGGAGCGTCAGGAGTAGCTTGTAAGGGGCAACAACAGCAGCCAAAAAAAAAAGAAGAGAAAAAAAAACACGCGGTTCGGAAGATGTTAAACACGATGTAACTCAACGTACAATTGTTTCTTTTGTTTTGCTTACGGTTTTATTTCTTCTTTATCCTCCTCCCTCTTCAGTTGTTGCTTCCCTTCCTCTGTGGCCACTGCCTCCCGTTGACTAGTACATGAGATAAAAGAGGGGCGGAGAGGCGAGGGCGAAACGAGATTAGGAACGAAGGGGGGAAACTCATGTCATTGCTGACGCGTGTGGCGCCAAGCAGGCTTGTCCCCGCAGCCAAGGGGGTCTTTATAACACATTCACTGAAAAAGTTTACGCCTGTAGAAATCGACCCGCCGCCTGACGCCATTGCACCACCATACTTGGTGAATCTTCTTCGCACACCGCCGCACACAATTTCGCTTCGACGTTTTTTGGCTCTGCGGCACCAGTTTAGCAGCGGCACGTACTTCAACGTGGCCACACCGGGAGGATGGTACTTGATCGTACCTCACACCCACGCCCCACTTGCCGACCGCGTGGGGCTGCAGGTATGGCGAGAGAAGCATCATCACCGCTACGAGCAGAAGACCACAGAGCGAAGCAGAAGGAAGAATGAGACAGTGTCTTTAATGCATGATTCAGCAACGACACATGAAGGAATACCACCACTTGGGACACACGACGGTGATGAGAGGGCTTCTGCTACCGCTGTACAGGAACGTCTTTACCAGGACGGTGATGATGATAACAACATGGAGAATGAGGCAGAAGATGAGGGTGTTGGTTTCCATGCGGCGGCTGCATCTCTCTCTGGCTCCCGCAATGCCGTGACTCGAGCGTCACGGCTTGGGGCATCGCGGGTTTCCATCCCTGAGGAGCACCTGTTTGAGATCAATGACGGGGTTCTATGGGAAACACCTCCTCAGGATGACCTTGGCTGTCCTGCATACTGGAAGCAGCACAGGGTGCGTATGCAGTTGTACGAAGACACCAGCGTTAGCGCAGCACAGGGAGATTTTTGGCCACCACCCAGCTCAGAAGGTCTTAACGAGGCCCCTGGTTACATGGAACGGGAACGTTACGTCCAGCAACAAAGAATATTGCAGACCTTAACGCGCAAGGCCAATGTGAAGCTGAATGTTGACGATGATCAGCGTCTTTTGACACTTGTGCCCATCATTGATCTGAAGGAGGGCGATGAGTTACTGCTTCATTACGGTCGTGAATGGTGGTCGCAGCGGTTACTTTCCACTCTATTCATGTCTGTGCCTGACAGCAAGATGCGTGATGTTCGCTGGATTGAGGCACTCTTCACGAAGTCCACCGATGTGAGCCGACCATTTCCTCAGCTCTGCTCTGCTGTGGCGCGAAGGAAGCTGCCGAAGCAACGGAAAATAGGTAAAACTGCGCAGGATTCAGAGCTGGTGAATGCTGAGAGCACCGTGGATGCAGCAGCACGGCAGGATGCGTTGGTGTTGTACAATGTGGTGACGCGTCGCAAAGCCACGGATGCTGAGGCGCTCATCTACGCTGTGCGTCGGAGCTGTGTTGATCGGAGCTTTTTTTCGTCTCTGGTCGGAGTGGCTGGTTCGGGTGTGTTTGACGCTTCACATTGCGACGACGAAGTGCCACTCCGTCAGCTGCGGCGTGCGTTGCTGCAGTCGTTGCGCCAAGAAAGCGTCTCGGAAGGCAAGACAAGCACACCGGAGGCTGGATGCGATGATGATGAAGGGGACGGCTCACTCAGCTTTTGAGGGGGTCAGTTGTTCCCTACCGCTGTCCTGTCTTGGTCGACGTCATGGCGAGAAGAATGCGTCTGCGTCGGGTGGCTGTGTGTGTGCATGTGCACAGCTCTGCTGCAGTGGACTACCGTCTCCTCAATAATAACTTTATTAAATTACTTGCTGTTGCCTCCTTCTTTCTTTGGCTAACCTTTACACGGCGGCAGTGCCGTTTCCTCTGCACACTAGGAAGAGGTCATAGGTGCGCGAGAACGCGACGTAGAACGACATTTGTGGTGTCAGAGGACGAGTGAGCAAGGCAAGCGAGCGGAAAAGGAGAAAAACAAGGAAAAGACGAAAAAAAAAAAGGAGTGGGGAGGTAGTGGTGGTGGGAAGAAGCAGCTATCAAAGCCGGGGGCAGAGAACGTTGGTAGGGAACGACGCTACACAGTTGTCCGGCACGCAAGGAAAGGGGGTAGCCGCAAAAGGGAGAAGGAACTCAAGTAATAACGAAGGTGTCCCCCGACTAGATAGTTGCCGGTCGACATGCAAGTGAAGCACTACAAGACGTTGATGGCCTCGCAGCCGGCGTTTGCCCGGGTGCAGGCCATCTGCTGGTCGCCAAACAGCAAACGTCTAGCGGTTGCCGACAACCACCGTGTTGTTAACCTGTACGACGAGTTTGGGGAGCGTCGCGACAAGTTTTCCACGAAGGCGGCGGATAACTCGAATGGAAAGTTGTTCGTGATACACGGCATGGTGTTTTCCCCGGACAGCAGCAGGATTGCAGTGGCGCAGTCCGACGGCATGGTGGCCATTTACCGTATTGGGCACGAATGGGGGGAGAAGAAAGCCATCTGCAGCAAATTTCCACAGAGCAGTGCGGTCACGTGTGTGTGTTGGCCGAAAACCACGCAGGGGGTGGACCTTGTTGTTTTTGGAACGCTGGAGGGGAAGTTGAAGGTTGGAATTCTGAAATCAAACAAATCTCAATCTCTCTACACCCACGACCACGCCGTGGTGTCCGTGGCAAGCCACTTCGACGGGCACAAAGTCATCTGTGGACATTTGGATGGCTCCGTTTACCAGTACACCTTTGATTCGGAGGAGGCGAACGAGACGGCGGGCTCGAAGAAGATCTTTCACCACTCCTGCGCCCCGTACATCCTGCTGTGGGGAGAACATATTTGTGCGGCGGGGCAAAATGGGCGGGTCACCTTCTACGACCGCAATGGCCAGAAGTTGCAGAACATTGACTACAAGGTGGAGGTGGAAGGGGAGTTCACTGTGGGATGCTTTAACCCCAGTGGACAGACGATTGCGCTGGCGTGCCGTGAGAAGTTCCGTCTTTTCGACTACAATTTGCGTTCCCGTAAATGGGAGGAGGGAACGGTTATAAGTCTTCCCAATTCCTGCACCTTTTCTGCCATGGCGTGGAAGCAGGACGGAAGCCGCATTGTGACAGGAACACTGACAGGCGCGGTGGACATGTTTGACGCTTGCTTAAAACGATACCGCCTTCGTGGTGCGTTTGAGTTTACATACGTTAGTCCCAATCAAGTCATTGTGAAGCGACTGGCGACAGGAACCCGTATTGTGCTTCGCTCGAATATGGGCTACGAGGTGCAGCGCGTCAACGTTTATCATGACCGTTACTTGGTGGCCTACACCTCCACGACGCTTCTTGTCGGTGATCTCATCTCGTGTAAGCTGTCGGAGGTGGAGTGGCACTTGTCGGGTCGTGAAAAGTTTGTGTTTGACAATCCACAGGTTTGCATGGTGTTTGCGGCCGGGGAACTGTGCCTGATTGAGTACGGCAAGCATGAGCTTCTTGGCACTTGTCGCACTGAGGAGCGTAACGCCCACCGCATCTCTGTTCGCGTGTATGAGCCTGGGGAGAATAGCGCAGGAGGTAAGCAGCAGACGCGTAAGTTTATTGCATACCTTATTGATCGCCAAACCATTCAAATTGACGACCTCGGCAGCGGCATCAGCGTCGCCCGCGTCGCTCACCAAAGCCGGATTGACTGGCTAGAGCTGAATTATCGCGCCAACAAGTTGCTCTTTCGTGATAAGCAGCATCAACTGTATCTCTACGATGTGGAGGAGCAAACACGCACAACATTGTTGAATTACTGCACGTACATGCAGTGGGTTCCAGGTAGCGACGTCGTTTTGGCACAGAACCGCGTTGAGCTGTGTGTGTGGTACAGCATTGATGCCCCTGACCGCGTCGCGGTTGTCCCCATCAAGGGCGAAGTAGAAGGCATTGAGCGGGGCAACGGTAAGACGGAGGTCATTGTCGATGAGGGCATCAACACCGTCGCCTACGGCCTTGACGAGGCTCTTATTGAGTTTGGCACCACCATGAAAGATCATGACTACAACAGGGCATGCGACCTGCTGGACCAGATTGCACTGACTTCAGAGACAGAGGCAATGTGGGCCAATTTGGCGACGGTGGCACTGCAGGAGATGAAGCTACATATTGCCCAACGCTGCTACGCGGCCCTGGGCGACGTCGCGAAGGTGAATGCGTTGAACCATATTAATGAACTTGCAGAGGCTGCAGCAAAGACCAATGAGGGCCTCACGGATGGCTATGAACACTACACCGTACGGGCCGAACTTTTTATGTTGAACAAGGATTACAGACGGGCCGAGCAGGTTTTTCTTGAAAACGGTAAAACGGAGGATGTGATGGCCATGTGGGAGGAAATGAATTGCTTTGATGAAAGCATCAACATCGCCGAGGCACGTGGCTGGCCTGATCTAGCAAGTAAGCGGGCTCAGTACTACAACTGGTTGATGGAAACTGGCCAGTATGAGAAGGCTGGGGAACAGAAGGAGCGGGATGGCAAATTTATTGATGCCATTAATTTGTATTTACGAGGTGGTACTCCCTCACGGGCGGCAAATGTCGTCTCGGCCAATGACTTGAGACCTGAGCCACAACTGCTTGAGGCTATTGCGGCGGCACTTTTCAAGGCTCAGGTGTTTGAAAAGGCTGGAGACTTCTTTGATAAACTCAAGATGGGCGATCGCGCCATTGAGGCGTACAAAAAGGGCAATGTTTATAGTCGTGCCGTGGAGTTTGCCAAGCGAACGCACCCGGATCAGGTTGCAACACTGGAAGAGGCATGGGGGGATTATCTTGTTGGTCAGAAACACGTGGATCAGGCGATTAATCACTACATTGAGGCAAACAAGTACAGCAAGGCGGTGAAGGCTGCCATTGACTCACGCCAGTGGAGCAAAGCAACGCACATTCTCGAGAGCCAGACTGTGGGCGCTGACAACGACGACACAGTGAAGGGTTTTTATAAACAAATTGCCCGTCACTACGAGGAGCTACATCAGTACGGGGATGCGGAGAAGTTCTACATTAGGGCAGATTCCGTCAATGAGGCGGTGGAAATGTACAGTCGTGCAGGCATGTCGGATCACATGTATCGTGTGGCTCAACGTCATCTCTCGCAACAGCAGCTTGTTGCCCTCTTTGTTGATCAAGCAAAGCAGCTTGAGACGAAGGGCGACTACTCTGGGGCAGAGCGTATCTACCTAAAGGTGAATGAACCAGACCAGGCAATTGTCATGTACAAAAAGACGCGTGACTATACAAACATGATACGTCTCGTTCAGGCGTATCGCTCAGACTATGTACTCAGAACGCACCTTTCCCTGGCGGCCCAGTTTGAGAAGGAGAATAATTTCAAAATGGCAGAAACGCACTACGTTTCTGGAAAAGACTGGGGACGGGCCGTTAATATGTACCGTGACCGCGAGTTGTGGGAAGATGCTGTGCGGGTTGCGAAGGTGCATGGCGGGGCGAATGCGGCAAAGCAGGTGGTGCTTTCCTGCGCCATGGTGGTAGAAGCCGAGGACGGTGTGCGGCTACTCATGAAGTTTTCCCTTGTGGACGCTGGCATTGATGCCGCGCTAGAGGCGCAAAAGTTTGATTTGGCGTTGCAGTGGTCGCAGCTTGCGCAACCTGCCAAGCTTCCTTACATTTACCTTAAATACGCCATGTACTACGAGGATCAAGGTGACTTCCGAATGGCGGAAGATGCCTTTCTAAGGTCCGGTAAACCACGTGAGGCGATTGATATGTATTTGCACCAACACGAGTTTGAAAACGCTATGCGGGTTGCAGAGGGGCACGATCAGACAGCTATTTCCGCGGTGCTTCAGGCAAACGGGCGGGACCTTTTTCAGAAGGGCAAGTACCGTGAGGCAGAGGTCTTATTTATCCGTGCAGGCGCCCCAGAACCACTGCTAAAAATGTACATGGATAGCCGTCTCTATACAGAGGCCCAGCAGGTGGCAAAGGAACATCATCCGGAGATGCTTGGCGAAATTGCCAAGCGCATTGCGCTTCAGTCGAACGACCCCAAGAAGGCGGGTGCGGTGCTGGAGGAGCACGGTGAGTATCAGCTGGCGATTGAGCATTATCTTGGCGCAACACCGGAGCAAGTGTCGGACCCTAACGTCTTGGCAAATCTATGGGTGCGGGCGGTGAAGGTGGCTCAGAAGCACGATCGCAATGCGTTGAAGGGAGTCCTACGCATAGCCACGGAGAAGTTAAAGGAGGCTCAACGGTACGTTGAGGCGGGCAAATGTCTTGAGGATTGCGAGGACTACAAGGGTGCAATCAACATGTATGTGCAGGGCAAGAAGTTTGACCTTGCGGAGTATCTGGCAAAACGCATTAGTCCTGAGTTGGAGGACTACGTGAAGCGAGCTATTGTGCAGGACAGCATTGAAAACGGTGGAATGAAGGATGCCAAGGTGGTGGAGGAGATTGACCCTGAGTTCGCGCTCAAGACTTACATCTCAAACAACGACTGGAAGAATGCCACTCGTGTAGCGAAGCAGATGACTTCGGAGGAGCTGAAGTACGTGGCAGGGTTACAAATGAAGTACCACCTTAATAAGGGAGAGTTAACACAAGCGCTTGATGTGGTGGAGGAGTTGCCCCTTGACACTGGCGACTTCCGCTTCTATGACACCTGGTTGGGCATGGCGGAGCAACTTATTCCCATGCTGCCTGTGAAGGCCGAAAGCAACTTGAAGTTAGATCGCTTCCACACGGGTCTCATCAATGTCTCAGAGAGCATGGCAAAATCGGGGCAAAAACCAGAGGATATCGAAAGGGCAAATGCACTAGTGCATATCATTCATATTTATTATACGGCCCCGCGCATGCTGGAGCTCTCTTTGGGCGAATATGCGTTGAAGCTTCTACTTGGTCTCCCACGATGGATTCCGTACATTGCACCGGAAAAGGCGTTCTTTGATGCCGGCATGGCCGCAAAGGTCGCTGGCTCAGACGCCATCGCTTTCCTTTACCTAAACTGTTTTCTCGACATCACGGAGAAGATTGGGGAGGGTGCTACCGACAGCTCGACCCTCGATAGCAGCAGCTTTGATTGCACAGACTTTCCCAAGAAGTACATCCTTCCGAAGTCGTCGAGTGTGGATGCGTCTGCGGAGGAGGAAGTTAACAAATGGGTCTTGACTGTTTCCATTGAGAGCAACTTTGACCCGCACTTGCCCACGACGATGGACCCGCAAAATCAAGTGAATATGTTTGAGGGTGCGCTGCGGTCTCCGGCCGGAGAAGTCTTTCCTGAGTGCGCCGTGACCGGCTACCCCATCATTTCTGGGGGGCTTACGAAATGTCGCAACTGTCAGCGCCCAGCGAACCCGGAGGACTGGAATAGGTACATTGTACTCGGCAAGCACTGCCCATGGTGCGGCGTGGCGGAGTCGCCGAATTTTTCGATGTAGAAATTTGCTCAATTGGAGGTCCGCCGAACTTTTCAATGTAGAAATTTGCTCAATTGGAGGCCCGCCGTTAGCACCGTCCCTTCCGCAATTTTTCTCGGCGCCGTCTTTCTTCACGCGTTGCTACCCGCCGCCACTGCTGCTGCGAGCGTTCCGGTCTCAGAGGAGGAGGGGGGAGGGAGTGATGTGACTGGAGGGGAATCATGGAGAGGAAAAAAAGAAACAGGTAGAGTGCGTGGATGAAAAAGACTACCAGCAAGAAACAAACAAACAACTCCCCTCCCCCTACAAAAAAAAAAAAAAAAGGGAGAGCGCAAAAACGAAGCACGAGCATAAAAGGAAAAAGGGAGCAAAAAGTGATTCACTTCGGACCACGAGAAACGACAAGGAGGAGGGGCCTAAAAGGAGACGGAGAGGTAGTGGTGGGGGAAGTGGACGAGGGCGTGGTAGAGGTGGAAGAGCTGAGCCATTATTCTTGCGTGCAGTACTTTATTCCCTTTTCTTCCACTCACAGGAGCAAACAATGCGCTCCCTTTGGTTTTCCCCCTTTTCCATTTTTTTTATTATTATTATTTTTTTTTGGAGAACTGTGTCTTATCTGCCGTGCATCGTTACTGTCGCAAGGGATAAAAAGTGAAGGAGGAGTATCCCTTTTTTTTTGTTTGGGTTTTGTTGCTGATGTTGTTAGAGAGAAGGAGGGAAGAGTGAGGGAAAAATGGACAACTTGAGAGCAACGACTTTTGTTTTCCTTCTCTTTGTTGTGGTGTATTTTTGCCCTCATGCATTTCTTCTCTCTCTCTCTCATTTTTGTTTTTGTTTGACCTTTTGTTTCTTTGCCATTGTTGCGATGTGTGGAACTGAGTGAGGTACGGTAGAGAGTGGCCAAGCGACCACGGACCAGAAGAGACATACAAAAAGTTCACAGGGGAATAATATACATATGCATATTCATATTCATCCACACCTGTAGATTGGCGAGAGCTGTGGCAAAATGGTTCGTTACGCGAAGCGGCCGTGGTACACGCCAATAGGCTTTATGAGCTCTGCACCGCACTCATACGCTGGACTCGTGGTGGTCCTCATGTTGAGCTGAGGCGAAAGGCCGTAATGTACTATAACGAAATGGAGCGTATGCATCGGCGCCAGGCGATGCAAAACTTATCTAGTCTGCTGGAGGATGATAGCAGTCATCGTTTGTCCGCCACGCTGCAAGGTGAGGTGCTGCATATGGGCCATGTGGATCAGGATTACAACTACTGGTATGCACATCAACGTGATGCTTTGCGCGCATAGAAGTTACTCACGGAAGTTTGGGAGCTGCAAGCACGAGTGAATCAGGCAGGGTAGTCCAGTGAATATATATGTGGGAGAGAGAGAGATGAGTTGGGAAGTGTATAATGGGGTGATTTGAAAGGATTGTCATTTGTATCGGATGTGGGTGTGGGTGCGGGTGCGGGAGGGACTGGTGTAGCTTTTAGTGAAGGGAATGGGTAGAGGATCGAGTGGGATGCCTGTGGGAAACGCCTAGTCTAGTGGGTAGAATGTGTAGGGTGCAGATAGAAACAACTGTACGAGCAATAAGGTAAGCCGGGGGGGGGGTGCAACTGACGGGGACGGTGCCGCGATGATGCGCCTCCCCGCCGCTTTCTCTTCTTGAATAGCAGCTACCTATTTTATTGTGAATATGTCATTTTTTAGTGACAAACGTATTGCGTCTCAGCGATGCCCCATATCATTATTATTATTTGTTTGATTGATTGATTTCTTCCGTGGTTTGCTTCGTCTCCACGTGACGGAGTTTGACCTTCACTTTAACCCCGCACTCAGTCACTCTCTCTCTCTCTCTATTTCTCTCTATTTCTCACTTTCACTGTCTGCGGAGTCTCGTGCAAGTTGCTCTTGGTACGCTTGAGATACGATGACCCTCACGTGTGGAGCACATCTCTTTCCTCCTCTTCATTTAACCCCTTAGACTTTCTCACCTCCCATTATCTTCCCTCACACACCTGCGCTCAAAAAGGGCGTAAAGAAATTTTATTTAAAAAAATTTTTCTTTCCTTTTTGTGGCGAGCGGAGGGGGAGGGCAGGGTAGGGCGGCCTGGAGGCGGCGTCCACTGCTACGCTCGGATCGTGTGTCTGCGGAGCAAAGCACGGTGGTTGTCGCCTCCCTGGAGGTTGCGGAAGGTTGGGAAGTATAGGGAGTATGCAGTGCCTGATGCACACTTCGGACCTGTCCTCGCCGGCGAAAAATGCCGTGGGGCAGAACACGCTTCCACTAGTCGAGCGCCACGTCAACAGTCATGCCGAAAGTTGTCGAGTATTGCCCCAGAAACCGTCATGTACAACAGCGCAGGGCTTGGCTTTGTCATCTTCCGCCTCTTCGTCTTCTTCTTTGAACGCCACCGAACAGTCGGTGGGGTCTTTTTCGCTGCGTCAATGTTTGGATCTTCTGGTGCGGGTGCAAAAGACGCAGGCAGAGAGTGTAACCCTGCTTACGACACTACGCGAGCGCCTTTTTCCTACGCTCAAACACGGAGATGAGGCATGTCATCCGCCTGCTGTTCCCTTTGACGATGTGGACCGCGAAGTCGTGCGGCTACGTATTTTTGAGGTGAAGCACTCCGGTCTCAACCCAAGGTTGTCTGAGTCCATTGAGAGTATCTTGCTACCGTTTCAGTCTTGCTTTCGACAGGGGCTGGAAGGGACTGCTGCGGGTGGCGGAGGCGGCGTTGGGAGTTCTGGAGTGTTGTTGGAGTCCTGCGGCCGGGTCGCCTCGTTGCGGGAGCAGTTCATGGGCCTCGCCCAACTGCAGGAGGAGGCGATAAACGCACTGGGGACGCAGTTGGCACAGCTGTTTGCACTGCCGTCTGCGAAGAATAACACCGTTTACCACTACCCCGTGTCAACGATGGCGGAGGATGGGGCGGAACCGTGTGGATCTCGCGAGCCGCGTCCACATGATGCGGCATTGCGGTTTCTGGAGCAGCTTGAGGATGTGATGACTAGTAAGCAGCACATTGTTGTCTTTCTGGCGATGGCTCTGCGAAAGATTTACGACCCCCTGACCCCAACCGCTGCGTCATCATTTGAAGCCCTCCCTGCTTCGACGGACGGGGGTTTCGACGTGCTTCAAAGGGACGATGCTGCGGGGGGGCGTGTGTCAGTCTCGCTTTCACCGCCAAGCACTCTTCGTCCCTCATGCTCGGCTCCCCGAGAGGCGTCACTGCAGTCTCCAACAGCTGAAGGCTGCGGGCGATCCCTGGAGCGACTACTTCACACCTATCACATGCAGGAATGCCGCCGCAGCAACAGTCACGAGTCCCCAGATGTTGAACTCTCACCATCGCCCAAGTCGTGTGGGTGGGAGATGGTTCCCAATAAATCTGCGTGTGGGGAGCCGCCGCAAGAAGAGCGGCAGTCATATATTTTGCTGCAGCCGGCGTGCGATGGTGACGTTTCGCCTCAGAGTGCCAATCCTCGTTCACCCTCGCTCTGCACAGCGGGGATGGGAGAGGTGTGTGCCTCACCGCCACCGCCGCTGGCAAGATGCCTTGAAGAGCAGACGAAAGCGCGGCTGCAGCTCTTCCTGAACGCACATCGTTCGTTGCGACATACGCATGACACGGGTGGAGGGGAATTCGTCAATGACGACGCGTCACAGTCGCCGCCAGCACTGCAGCTTTCTCAGTTTGTGGACAGCGAGGCTGCCATGAATGAAAATAGGGCGCCAAGTAAGGAGCGCGGGCCAATGGAGTTTACATCCAACATCGCTGCGGAGAACGCACGACTATTGCGATTGCTGGAAGCAAAGGACAGTTTGATTATGGGCATGCAGGAGCGTTTGCTAGGCTCGGTGCCTTTGTTAGTTGAGCGCTTAGCGAGCGGCGTTTGTAGCAGTATCAACGGTTCGTGTCGTAGCCGATGCTCTTCCACACATGGGGATTCCGCGGACGAGAGACCATCATCACCACTCCAGCCGACGCATACCGCCTCTACCTCCACGTGTGACGAAGAAATTGAGGGTCGTGTTGAGAAGACACCAAATGCCGGGCGATGTGATGACGTCAATGAGATACAGTTGCTTAAAGATAGGCTGGCTGCTCGCATGGAAGATAACCATCATCTGCGTGCCGCTTTAACTGATATGAAGGAGGAGAGGCAACGCTGGAAGCGGGCGGCGAGAGAGCTGAAGGAGGAGAATCAGGTATGGAGGGAGAGGGAACGGGCAGCAAGGACGCGATGCGAGCAGCTTGAAGAAAATATTCTCTTTTTAAAGAAGCGACTCTTGACGTCTGAGGGGGCGTTAGTGCTGAGCAACACGGCCGCCGCATCCGTGACGCATAGTGAGGTGCCATTGTTGAGTACTTCCTCGAGCCATCATCACGGCGCTGAGCTCAACTTGAACAGCGATAACAGGGATACGCGTGGCCGCCTGCCTCGCAACGAGGCAGGCGGTTTAGCGTCACCGGCACGGAGTCGCAGTCGAACGCTGCCTCCACCTTTGCACGAGGTGGCCGTGCCGCACACGTCTGTGTCCCTGCAGGAGAAGCGAAATGAGGTGCTTGCGAAGCTCGGGCGACACGCCGAGGAGGGTACACTGCCGCAGGCAGGGCCGTCTTTTCCGGAGTGTGAAGAGCCGATGGTGGTGGTTTCACCGCTGACGGATGAGCGCGTTCCACCGGGGGGTGGTGGTGATGGCGGCGCCGCACCAACGACGTCTCCGGCCCCCGCGACTTCCTTTTCGTCATCACCAGGTGCAGTTCGAATTGACAGGCGTTTGTCACCGGAGTATCAATCACCGCAGGCGGAGCACGTTGGCGGCGGCGGTGGTGAGGGGCCTGTGAGAGCGCGGCTCTCAACGGCGGACGTTAACCGCATTCTTGCGAGTGCGCGTGGCCTCTTGAAGTCGGTTGCTTTGACACGCAACGACCACCGCGGTGAAATGTTTCCGGTGCCAGCCTCTGCCTCTTCCGGCTCCACATGGTCGGATTGCGACTCCGCCAGCTCCGGCGATGATCACGACGAACGTCACGGGAGTGGTGCGGCTGCGCGTTGCACTATCGCATCAGCGGAGAAGCAGCTGCCACCAACGCAGCGGCGCTCCATTTCTCCATGCTCTTCCCTCAGCTACTCCTCGGCGAGGAAACGAGCGCAGCAGCCTCTGCGTCACTGGAAGCAGCGTGAGACGAATACTGTGAATGTGGTTGAACCCAGGACACCCGCGTCATCATTGCCATCGCCATCACCGCCGCTGCGACAGTCGCGGCATAAAGGCGCAAAGGCAACCACAACGCAGTCGCCAGAGGAAAAACGCTCTACCAGGCCACGTCCTCGGACTGCGCGTGAGGCGCTTATGCAGGAGCTGCGAGATCAGCTTCACCTGCTGCGGACGCAACACGCCGGCGTTCTTGCGCAGGCAGAGCAACTGCAACTAAAGCGGAGGCAGGTGGTTGCAGCCATTCAGCACCAGAGCAATGAAATGAGTGGCAGTAGTCCCAAAATGACAGGTAAGAAGCGCCTTGCACTGACAGCGCTGCTTAAACGGTTTGATGCAACCCAGGAGAGGGTACAACAAAGTGAGGCACGTCTTCGTGAGTACGTGGAGATTGTGAAGCGACAACTGAGGACGTTAGAAGATGACCTCTTGTGACGCGGAATGGATGGCTGGACGTTAGAGCAAAGATGCACATACATAGATAATATTACATTTCCATGAAGACGCAGGTTTATTGTATATACTTTATTGCGCGCCACATATCACATGCATCATGCACGTATGTGTTGAATTTCCTTTTTTGTGAACCACTCCTTCTTCTTCCTTCTTTCTTTGTGCACGCGGAAACAGTTCCATTCTTTTGTGGACTTTATTTCGTGCGGGAAGTGAGGGTAGCGTGTCGTGCAACAGAGCAGGGACCTCCCCACCCACCCACCCACACACCCACACACACACACACGAAGAGAGAAGCCAATAATAACACTATTATTTTTCCTTTTCAAAGAAAAAGGCAAATCATAGAAGTAGAGAAAGAGAGTGAAGGGAAAAGAGTGGCGGTGTTTAGTGATATTTTATTGTTGTTGCTGTTTTTTTTGCTGGTGTGAGTGAGACGGGAGATGCCGCGCGAGATCGTGTCCATTCAAGTCGGCCAGTGTGGCAACCAGATTGGTCTCAAGTGGTGGGATGTCATGCTGCAGGAGCAGAAGGCCAACCCGCAGTACCCTGACGCCCGCGACGCACTTTTTATCTCGGGGCCTGTGGGAAGAGATGAAAGCACAACACTGAGGGCACGTTGTGTCGCGATTGACATGGAGGAGGGCGTGCTGCGCTCCATGTTGCGTGGACCGCTGCAGAACCTCTTTGATGCCACTTTTTTTGTCTCCGACGTGGGTGGGGCGGGAAACAACTGGGCAGTAGGACACATGGAATACGGCGACAAATATATTGATAGCATTTCAGAGTCGGTTCGGGGGCAGGTTGAGCGCTGTGACAGCATTCAGTCTTTTCTTGTGATGCACTCGCTGAGCGGCGGCACCGGTTCCGGTTTAGGCACACGTGTGCTGGGGATGCTTGAGGACGAGTTTCCACACATTTTTCGTATCTGTCCTGTGGTGATGCCGGGAACGGTGGATGACGTGGTGACGGCGCCGTACAACACCGCCTTTGCCCTTCGCGAGCTCATTGAGCACGCAGATGCGGTGCTGCCGTTAGACAATGACGCTCTCGCCCGCATGGCGGATACCGCACTGGGGCGCAAGACTGTAACTAATGCAGCCGGGGAAGTGGTACGTGGCGGGGTGCCGGATGTCCACAGTTACAGCGTGGCGCAGCCGACCATGACAAAGTTGCCTTATGACTCCATGAACGCGCTTGTAGCACATTTGCTAAGTAACCTGACGTGTGCGATGCGGTTCCCTGGTCCGCTGAACATGGATATCAATGAAATTACTACAAACCTCGTCCCCTATCCACGACTCCTATTTTTCACGTCCGCCGTTGCTCCACTTAACGTTGCGCGATATTCAGCGGCTGCCGGACCGCGTTCTGTGGATTTGCTGCTTAAGGCCTGCTTGGAGAAGGACCACCAGTTTGTCGATGTCTCCGAGGGTACGCAGTCTGCGCTAACACGGGACGCGGGCACCTGCCTGGCCACAGCCCTCATTGCCCGTGGGCCGCAGATTACTGTGGGTGACTTGGCCCGTAATATTCCACGCATTCGCGCGAGGCAAAAGTTGGTATACTGGAACGAGGAGGGATTCAAAACAGCTCTCTGCAGTGTGAGTCCCTTGGGACACCGGGATTCCGTGCTGATGCTCTCCAATCATTGCTCCATTGCGCAGAAATTACAGAAAATCTACGAACGTTTTATGCGGTTGTATAATGTTCGCTCTCACGTGCACCACTACGAACGATTTCTTGAGTTATCGTACTTTGATGCCTCCGCAGAGATCCTTTCGACGACGGTGGATGATTACAACTTTTTGAACACCGTGGAGCCCCCGGCGAATGTACCGCGCAGCATGCGGGAGTTAGTGTACTACTAGCGCCGACGGGTTCGGCCTGGCATGGTCGGTGGCGGAGAATGGCAAGCGTCTGTGAGGTGGATCTGTTGCCGCCGCTCCCCCCCCCCCCCCCCCCCTTCCCGTCCTTCCGTCCTTCAACGGATGCGTGTTGCTTCGAACCGTGGAGGCCTTGTGTCTATGTGGGTTTCGGTATACCTCTTTTTCTACTCTGTGGGGTGACTAGTCGCTCAGGTATATTTGTCCCCATGTGTGGTGTCATACGTGCAAGCGTGTCTATGGTTGTGCAATGGAGCGGGTGGCATTCACGCTGTGTGCTGCGGTATCGCTCATGCATCTTTCTCCTTCCTTAATTATTTTTGCAGCCTGTTTTAGAGGGTAGACTTGTGCCGCCGCAGAAAACAAAACAAGGAAGAAAAAAAAAACATTGGAAGTAGCAGCCACAGCTGCAGGCGCGGATTGAGGGTTAAAGAAGGAAGGGACGATGACGGCACGCGCAGTCACCGAACTCGTGTTGCAGCAGGCCGCTGGGGTGACAACAGCAGGAGGTGTGGCGTCGCTGGAGGCGACGGATGCCGGTAGGCGCAAGTACGTTTTTGTTGATGGACCTGCGAACCCCGACGTGGCTCTCATTCGGTACGATATCCCGTTTGCGTTGTCCGATCCCAAACGCTCGCTTAAGCTCCGCCAACGCCTCAGGGTTCCTCTCGACAAGCGCCCCGTCGACCCCAACGTGCGTATCGTGATTGACTCCTTCATCACCCCACGTGCGTGGCGTGACGAGGCTGGGGTGCTGTGGGTGCAGCACGGGAGTCCGTACCCCGTCTCCCGCACCGAAACCGTTGAGACCCACAATAAACTTCGCCGTCGCATGAAGGAGCTGGGGGTCCAGCGCTGCACCATCTCTCCCCAGCGCTCCCTGCTGCTGGCGGAGTGCTTCTTAGAAGTTATTCGCCAGGTGACCGCGGAGTGCTGGGAGCGGGGACTGCTGTTGCTCAAAATTCACACCGAGCGCACGGCCGCCCAGACGGCGCACCGGGAATTGTTTGAGTCTCGTGTCGGACACGCCTTTCGCTTGGCACTCAAGGGCGAGAAAGACACGAGTCGGGTACAGCAGGACATTGAAACTCTGAAGCGGCGTGCGGAGGAGTTGACTGAGGAGGAAAAATTCCTGCGGCAACAGTGTGACGAAATTTCTGCCAAGGGGGAGGAGCAGATGCTGATATTAGAAAAGTTGCATGGGGACGAAATAGCGGCCATCAAGAAGGAGGGGGTGCACAAACGCAACCAACTGGAGCAGATGATTGCGTTGCCTACAATCTAAAGCGGGGAGGCAATGAAAAAGGAGGTGGTATGTTTCGTTTTTGCTGCACATGTGTGTGTTCCACTGTTTTCCTGACTCTTGCTACCTCAACGACTCTTTTTCCCTATCTTCGTTGCCTCCGAGGCACACGATGGTGTGCAACACAGGAAGGAAGGAAAGAAAGTTTGTGTCTGCCCCTGTGGGAGGAGGAGGAGGAGAAAATGGAGGAAGGTGGTAGGGACGCTGCTCTCTTCTATTGACGTCTTCTCTCCTGTCTGCGTGCGTCCCGTGTGCACTCGAGATCCTTCAAAATGTACAGAGCAAAGATAAAAAAAAAAGCCTGCAGGAGAGACGATGGGGTTACTTTTTTTTCTTTTTTACTGCTGCTTTGTCTTTGCCTCTCCACTACTCTCCCTGTTGTGCTGCTGGTGGAATGCATCCCAGCGGTGGTGATGATTATTGTGTGTGTATGGTATGTACGTATGTGTATGTAAGTGAGGCTGCACGAAGGCATCATGAACTTTTTTTGTTCTTGGTTTTTGTCGTTTGGTCGTGTCTTTTTCTAGGTTCATCCCCTTTGGGATTGCCTTGTGTGTGTGTGTGTGTGTGTGTTTGTTTGTTTGTCCTCTGCACCTGTGGAAAGTAGACTACGTGTTCCGCCTCTCTTGAGCTTGGCGGGGTCCAAGTGTAGTAGTGAACAGTAGAACGCCTGTAGTACGAGGCGAAGCTGCAGTATTTCACCAGCGAAATACGGGTGGAGGTGGTGGGGACGACATGCTGTATGCGCAGCGCAAGAGACGACAGCAGCTGGCGGGAAAAATTGGGCACAACGAAGAGGAGTATGAAGTTGATCCTCAGCCGGTTGTGGTTGTGCAGCACGTCTACGGGGCCCGACGGTTTCCGTCGCGACGACCCGACGTGAACCCCATTTCGTGGCAATTGGCACAGCAGCACCCGTCTTTCCAGCAGCAGCAGCTGCAGCAATATTCACAGCTGCAGCAACAGCAACAGCAATATCCACAGCTGCAGCAACAGCAATATCCACAGCTGCAGAAACGCCAATATCAAGAAACACTGCAGCAAAGGAAGCCGTGGTTTGCGCCGAATGTGATCTCCGCTGCACCACCCGCGAAACTCCTGCCATTGCAAGGCAATATCAACTTCCAAAGGAATGACGTGTTTCCGCAGCCCATTCAGTTTCCCTCTGCGCTTTCTACGCTCGGCACGACGCCCGTTTTGTCGCGTCCCGCAGTTGTGGAAAGGTCTCCACGGCGATTTCGTCCACTTGATGCGGTGGGTCTCGTTTCTACGCCGCAGCTTGCGCCATATCCTTCCACCGCCGTGCCGTGTAGCGACCTACCCACATTTTTACCACCAACATCACTGCCACCTCTCTCGGTGTCTCCATCAATGCCGCAAAGGCCCTTGTTGCATGTCGTTTCGCCACCGCGCGACCATCAGACCTATTTCAATAGAAATCCTTCTAGTCAAACGTGCAAGGGCAACAATGACGAGCAAGGGCCAAGGTTGCGGCCGGCGCGGGGCTCCGTCACCCCGTATCCGCAGGAGGACGATGAGATGATTGCGCGTAGATGGGCGAGAGAGCAAGCCATACAAGTTCAGGAGGAAAACGTGCGCCTGTGTGAAGAGCGACGGCTTCGACAGGAGCGGGAGAGGCAGTTAGTGAGAGAGGAGGAACGACAGCAGGAGGAGCTGGCGCGACTGGAGCGGATGCAGCTAGCTGAAAAGGAGCGGTTGGACATTGAGCGCGAGCAGGAGGAGGCGATGGAGAGGTTGACGGGCCGAAAAAGAGTGCGTTTGATGGGAAAGAGCAGCGAGACGCAGTTGCAGGAGGATCTTTCGAAACTGATAAAAGAAAAGAAGAAGCGAAAGGCGCAGGAAGCTGAATTGCTGGCAGAAGCTGAGGGAAAGAACACTGGGCGGACTTCGGCTGGAGCGCGGCCTGGAACTGGCGGCAGTAGGGGGTCGAACCCCTTAGCGGTTTCCTCGGAGAAGGAGGAGGCGGAATTGCCTCGTCAGTTTTATGTGCCGCAGGCCCCACCATTTACGGATCTGTCAAAAAGTGGGCCCGCCGCGAATGTGTCGGCTGCACTCTTCCCACCTCCTCCACCCTTTTCACTCAATCCATCGCTCTTTGATGCTGCATCCTACGATCCCGCGGTGTCCGCTGTCTCCTCGCAGGTGAACGTACCTGCGTGGTCAGCACCGGTCCTATCCACACCACACCAACTGAGCCCCTTGCATGGAGCCGTTCACTACGACGCCCAGCTACGCGACATGATAACCAATCATTTGGATATTCAGCGCACCTTAGAATCTGAGGTGCGACGTAGTCAAGGTGCTGCGGCACCTATGCCGCCGTCAACAGCGTGCCCCACCACAGTGCCACCGTCAGCGCATTTGCCTGCCCCACACCTTCATGGGCAACCCCGGCCGCTTAACGCGTTGCCGGTACAGAATGGCTGGACTGCAGCGGGAGCAAACATTATAGGCGGCAGTAATGAGACTCCTCCTGGCGGGTTTTTCCCCATGTCCGAGGTGTCTCCGATGATGCTGCCGGGAATTTTGAAAACTCCGCGTGAGCAGGCTACCCACATCACATTATTGGGTGTGAGTCCACCCAATCACGCGGTGAGGTCGAGAGCAAGCAGTGATGTGGAGGTTCCGCACTTTGGCGGAGAGAAACTTGATGAGCTTTCCGCAGAACCCTCCCGCTTTGTCGGTGCGCCGCAGTGACCGGTGTGTCACGGTTTTCTCACGTGGAAAGGGCAAAGTGCAAGAAGAAAATAATTTGTCGTGGTGAAAGCCCCACTTTTCTCTTTTGCCCTGGTTCCCCCTTTTTTCTCTCATTGATTACGTACCAACAGCTGTGCAGCTGCAATGGATTTGTAAACAATATTACAGCTACAGTATGTACATGACTTTTTTTTTCTCTATAAGTGCAGTTGTAGATCACGAAAACGAACTGTGTGAATGCTGCGACCATGAATGGTGAACGGCAGTGATGGGTGGAACTGTCATGTGCCTATTTACTGTGCTAAATGACAGCAATGAGGAGGAAGTAATATGTAGCCCTCTTTTCTACGCGGACATGTTTGATTTTTTTTTTTTTTTAAGGGTTAGAGAGAGAGAGTGCGTGTAGGTATGCTGTACGTTGGTGTGTATTTTCGACTTGTCTGTATTTAATGTTTGATTGCTTGATACAGTCCTCATTTTATCTCACTTTTTGTTTTTTGTTTGTTTGAGTATTGTTCTCGCTCCTTCTTATCCTTGGTATGCGTTGCACAAATTGATTGTGTGTAATATGTATAACCCTGGAACCCTCAGTGATCTCTTATCTCTCCAGTGAATGCGTCCAGTTTATATTTCATACTCCGCCCTCCGCCTTCTCCTTTGTTTTTGGTCCAGTGCATGTAAACATGCTACAAGTGTGTGTGTGTCTCCGTTGCACGTTGCCTTCACTCACTCATCCACTTATTTGGCCTCCTCTTACTTGCTCTCTCACTTGCTAACGCGCTTTGGTATCTGAAGGAAAGTTCACCAGAAGACTGTGGGCGCTTACGCTCCTTCAGTTCTTCCATCGACGCTCAGTGACTTCCCCCTGCACGTGTGGCCATTCAACCATTACGGTAGGTGATAACCCACGCAAACGTGAAGAAACAAAATACAAACAAAGAAGACCCAAAGACGGCGCGGCGTGTATAAACTGGGCAAGTCACTGGCACCCAATACACACATACACACACGAGAAAAAAGGAAGAAAAAGAGGGAGGGACGTGAAGCCCACTGCGCTTCTCAGTCCTTCTCGCTGAAAATTAATTCCGTGGCCGTTGCCTCTTGGGGTCCGTCAGTGTGATCGCCACCTTCCCACCCACCCATCCCTTTCTGTACGTGTTAAGTTATTGGCGTGCGCACGCACACACAACTGTGTGCGCTTCATTTCTGGAAACAGTCACGGGACGCAGGGTTAAGATTAGAGTGGGCGAAAGCTAGAATAAGAAAAGAAAAAGATTAAAAACAACAAGACGCTCTTGGAAGAGGAGGGCGGTTGTCTGTTTGTTTTTGCGAAGAGTAGTTTATTGTGTTCACCGGCGTAAGCATCATCATCCTCACCAACATTAGCGGCAGCAGCCAAGAGGAAGAGGAGGAAAACCGGCTCTAGACAGTTTGACGGTTGTCATGACGCATGACTACCCAGATGACGGGCACATCTTTGTCTGCGTGCGCGTTCGTGATGTCGCCACAGTGCCAGGCATGGCCGTGAATAACTCCACCATGCAACGCTCAGCGCGGAACAATATTCGGGATGCCCAGCGCATTTGTGTCTCCACACTCGAGAACTTTGTTGTGTTGCATGACCCAAGGTCCATTGATGACGCAGCAAGCGTGGCACGGGACGCAGATGGCCTGGTGCAGCTTCTCACCGCCCGTAGCAGTGGAGGTAAGGTGAATAACCCTGCAAGGCGGTTTCTGACTTCAACAGCCACCGCAAGCTACTTTGAGTACGACAAGTGCCTCACCTCCATGGATGCGGAGTCTATGCTGCAGATGCCGTTGATCCGTGACAGTGACTTCATTCGTCCTCCGGGGTACGGCACACAGGAGGACGTGTATCTCTCCACAGCGGTGCATGCGGTAAATGCGGCAGTGGAGGGCATCAACTCGTGCGTTTTTGCGTACGGTCAGACGGGAAGCGGCAAGACGTTCACATTGTTTGGCGACACCACATGCCTTCGTCATGACCCGGGCGTGGTGCCACGCACGATTGACGATCTTTTCCAGCGCTTGGAGGGCATCCGCCGAGGCTATCAGGACGACAGCGCCACGGAGTACTCCTACCGCGTTCAGCTCTCCTTCTTTGAGATCTACCACAATGAGGTTTACTGCCTTTTCTCTCGCAAGGGACCGCTACGTGTGTCTTTTCTGCGCGACACGTTTCGAAAGGAGGAGACGATGACCATTCACGATCTCCAGCAGCAGACGGTGGCGTCGGCGGAGAAGGCGTACCCGCTGCTGGAGCTGGGCCTGCGCCGCCGGCAGACGGGGGAGACGGGGATGAATGCGCGCAGCAGCCGCAGCCACGCTGTGCTTCAGGTCCGCGTCACCCAGTGGCGCACCAACCGCATCACAAAGGAGTCTGTGGAGTTGAATGCGACGCTCAACCTCGTCGACCTCGCCGGCAGTGAACGGCAAAAAACAGCCAAGACGGACGGAAAGAGTCGCGACGAGGGTATTCAAATCAATCAGTCACTCGCCACTTTGGCGCGGGTCATTAATGAAATTTCCCACGGGGCGAAGTACGTTAACTACCGCGATTCATTGCTGACGATGGTGTTGAAGGATAATTTGGGCGGCAACAGCAAAACGTTTATGATTGCCACCATTGCCCCTGTTTCGTTTTGTTATCAAGAGTCATGCGCCACACTTCAGTACGCGAGGGATGTACGTAAGATACGTAACCGCCCCACGGTTAACAGGACATTCCAAACACGCTCCAATTTGCTGGAACTAAATGCACGACTCAGAGAGGAAAATACACAGCTGAAACATCATGTTGAGTTTTTAATGAGGAAATTTAACACGAATGCCAATGATGTGGCGGAAGATGCTGCGGACGATGCCCCCCAGTTAGCGAAGGCAGCTAGTGTGGCGCGAGGGTGCATCGCTGTACCACCGAAGCAGGGCAGTGTGAGTGCCGCAACGGAAGCTGTCATTGCCGCCCCCGCGGTTGGCGCCGTACCGTTGGTTGTCACGGCACACCGAAAGTACACCAGCGTGGCTGGCATCGGTGGCTCCTGTCTGGAAGGTGGCTGCATTGGCGTCACGTCACTCACGAAGGAGGTCACGCAATTTCGCCTCACTGACATGATGCACCCTGCACAGATCTTAGAGGTCCAGCCGCAGCAGGGTGAAGGGTGGTCCCAGCAGAAGCGGGACTATGGTACCATTGAATTTGAGCTAGTCTCGCAGCGGTCGTGCGAGCGGCGGTATTGGATACGGCATATTCCACCGGATGGCACGAATGCAGCCTCAGACGATGCGGTGGAGTGTCAAGTCAACGGTCTCAAACTAAATAGCGGGGACCGCCGACAGCTACAGCATGGGGATGTTGTGAGCGTCTTTCTTGACAACGTCGGCGAGGATGCAGAGCAGGATTTGTTAACATTTCACTACGTGGACACCAGCTGTCTCGCACGCGGCGGCAGAGCGGACATGAGAGTCACAACAGGTGATCTAAGGGTCTCAATTTCCCTTTCAGATGGGCAGTCGCAGGAAAGTGGGGACGTGGAGCAGCTGCTGCGCGAAAAGGCCAAGCTGCTTGAGATGTGCCAGGAACAAGCCATAACGATTGAATACCAATGCCAACGTGAGGCCGAGTCACGGTTACGGATGGCGTCAATGGCATCAGTCCACCGCCGTGAAAGGGACCTCTCATCTTCACCCAGCCCTGTCAAGCCATTGGACATTGTAGAGATGGATGCCCCCCTCGTCACACCTCAGCAGGTCCACGCGGCGGCCCGTGCCTTTCACCGTAATTCTTTTTCACCGTCTCTTCGTCATGAATACAGCGTCAACCCCCACCGCTTTGAAGACTGTGTAGAGGAGAACCAAATGCTCTACAAAGATCTACTGAAACATAATGCCGAATATGAGGAACTTGAACGTCGTCTGGCAGAGTTAGATAGGGATACGCCTCCAAAACAAAACCCGCTGACATTGGCAACTTTGACGACTCGCGCCCTGAAGAACTCATCGGCCATGGTGATGTCCTCCCTCTCGGCTGAGTTAAGTGTGAGCGGCACTGAGGAGAATGTGAGCCCAGGTGCACCAGTCATGGGTGTGGTGACTGGGGCGGAACAGGATCTTGCCCTCACCACGCACCAAGACGGTTCTACCAAAGAGAAAAGACCAGCTGTAGTGAAGGTGGAAAATGCGCCTACAGCAGATGAGATTCTGCTAAAGCACCGCAAAGATTCCGAGTTGGATGGGATGGGCAAGATGCAAGTCTACTTTTCAACCTCTGAAGGAGTGCGGGAGCGATACCACGCAGCCAAGCGTGAGCGTGTACTCTGCGAGCGTATTTGGGCACTTGAACAGACTCTGGAGGACCTGCGTGAGGAGCTCAACCTTATGGAGAGTAAGCTACGTATTGCGCAGGACGCGAACACAGAGCACGAACTGTACCGGGCGCAGATGGAGGATGAGTTGAAGGAGGTTGCAGAAGCTTTTTCAGACACCACAAAGGAGAATGCCACTCTGCAGCGGGAGATCAATTCACTGGAAACGTTCCTTGGCAATGCGGAAGATGCACTTGCGGAGATGAGCACTATTAATGAGGCGGAACTTGATAAACGCCTCGCACACATGACGGAAGAGAACCGAGCGCTGAAGCGGCTTGCTCACATGTGGAAACGACGTGCCATGCAACGTCTTGCCCTCAGGTTCAGTGACGTCAAGAGCAGCGACAAGGACGACGTCGGAGGCGAAGAGGCAGGAATTATGAGTGGCCAAGTGCCGTGGGATGAACTGCGGGTGGAGAGCAATGTGGCACGAGCCAAGAAACTCCTTGGCAAGCATGAATCAACAGTCGCTGCGGTGGATGCGATAGACCGCTTTGAAAAGGAAACCGCCTTTGAATCGGTCGTAGCTCTTGAGAAAATAACAGCGGGGCTTGAGAATGAAAACCTGCGCTTTATGGAAGAGATTAGGGCGTACGAGGCGCAGGTGCAAGGATACAAGGACCTCGTGGAACGCCTTCGCACGGAAAAGGAAGAACTTGAGAAGGTGGGGGATAAGGAGAATAACCTGAATCTGACAGTTGATGAAATGGAGAGGATCAAGGCGCAGTATACGGAGAAGTGTGAGATGCTCGCCGTGGCGGAGCAGCAGTGCGCAGAGGCTGTCGAGGCGTTACATGCGGCGAAGCAGAGGAAGACAGCTGTAAAGAAAAAAACTGTGAACAACACTGACTTATTGCTGCAGGAGCATCGGCGTTTTATTGAAAAGCAGGAGGCAGAGTGCAACAAGCTTTCTACTGCGCTTGCGTCGAAGGACAATGAGTTACGCACGGTCCTGGCATTTGTGCGAGATCGCGTCGCGCTGGAAGGAATTGAGGGCTTCAGAGACGTGGGCAAGTTGCGCGATCGCATTGAGGGGTTGCTCGCGGCAGCCATGGAGGGTTACGAAGGGGGCAACGGATACTCCGTGTTCCCACCGGACTTCCGTTTCCCTGATGAAGTGACGGCGCTGATTCGTGTCTGCCTGCGCATCATAATGGATCGCCTCAAGATTGAGTTGTACGTCCTTAATCGCCAGCGCCTGCATAAGTTTGGCCTTTTGGTGGCTGCCGTGCAACTGCGACCGGAGGCACAGTTTCGCACTTTTATGCATGAACTGCGCCAGGTGGTGGCAGAGATTGCTGGCAAGGCGCAGCGCATTGGCGGCAAATGGCCCGTGGAGGAAAGTGACGTGTTGTCCGGCCTCATAGATCATCGCCGCCGGCGCGCCGGTAACGCACTCGACGGCCTGCTTATTTGGTACGACCACTGGGATCTCTCCGCCAAGGCTGAGCACGCCAGCTACATGGAGCTCATTCGCAACATGGAGCGTGTTATGCAACTGGCACGGATGGCTCGACAGGAAAGTCCTGTCAATACCAACGCAACTTCCACTCTTCGACTTGTACTACCTGGGAAGAATGGCTCCTCCGACACTGCGTATATGCCCACAGTCAGCAATGATACCAGCGTCACAGAGAGCTGTCGTATTCTTGAGAAGCTGTCAGACAAAACAAAACGTAGCAATCTTGCACGTGTGCTAAAGGAGAACACAGCTGCCCTTACTTTTAATACGATTCAACGCAGTCAAACCTACGCGCGGGTAGGGTTGTCTCCACGTTGGAGTGAGACGGACACAATGACTCTTGAACGTTCCACCACCACCACCCTCACCCCACTGCGAAGCGCAACACAGCGACTATCGCAACGCAAGTCATCTGCAGATAAGGGTGCAGCCATCGCGGGGAGCAAGTTTGGACGACGTGCGACGGCGTTAGTGGTACCTGCTTCCGACAATGATGTCGCCTTTGTGGCAAGCTCAGCGATGGCCCGAAGTGGTTCTGCCCTTAACTTTGGTCGTAACACGAGCGCAGTGAATATTTCCGATCCGTGGCACCCAAAACCGGCGGCGAGGGTCGCGTGCTTCGCGCGTGCAAAGACGGATGTGCCGAGCTTCGCCGCCCTGGCAGAGCTGTGCAACCCCAAACAAAGCCCCACCCCAACCCCGTGTCACTCGGCAAAAGTGGAGAGTGCCGTGTCAAGCAAGAGAAAGAGGCCTGCCGCTGCAGCGCCGCCGGGCCATTCGTTCCGTCGTACCCGTACCACACTGTTTACCCGCACAAATACGACGGGTGCATCGCAGTTAAGCAGCCGCATCACTGGGAGGCGGTCTTCGGAAGGATTGTCCACGCGCACCAGTGGTGGAGGACATTTGAACTCTCCGAAGCCCTCCATCCCGGCGTCGGCATTGTCGAGGTCGTTCTACGACCCGTATGTGTTAAAAAATCTGCGGCAGCGAAGCACCAGCGAGGGCAACCAGGGGCAGAAGCCGCTCGCAAAGCTCACAAGGAGCAAACTGACGGCAGGTTCAACGATGCCACCGCTATCTTTCCCTGTGGCCCTCTCGCGGACGCCGAGCACACTGAATAGAACACCGATGCGCTTTTCAGGGAAGGGGGCTCGCACCGTAGGTGAAAGTACTGCCGCCGATACTCCGTTTTCTTTGAAGTCCGTCACGTCACACACATCCGCACGGACATCATTGGGGCAACAGCCACAGCTAGATCACCCTGTAGTCCCGCCACTGCATTTAAAAAGCCTGTCTATGTGAGTAACGCGGTAGGCGGAAGCTGAGTGAGGCCTCGTTTTTTCGTTTTTTTTTTTGTTGTTGTTGTTTGTGTGTGAGATAAAAAGAGAAAGATTTTTTTTTTTTTCTCCAGCGTGTTTGGATTTTCCTCCCTCGCCCCTTCAGTGGTTTCCGCTCCACCGGCTGCATGTCAGCGGTGAGGTGGTAGGGATGGAGGGGCGCGTCATGCCTCAGTCTACTCCCGGGCCAACAATTTAGAAAAACAAAACAAAACAAAAACAAAAACAAAAAAAAATGACTTGGAACGAATGGTGGCGGCGTAGAAGGTGCGTGAGTATGCGAAGGAGGAAAGAGGAAGGTTAGGAGGGGGCGTGGGACTGCTACCGCGGTCGTCCCCACCCTCACTCACTCTCCCACTGCCTCTCTCTCTCCCTCGTCTTGCCTAGACACTCGCGCACGCGCCACCTGTACTATGCCAATTTATTTATTTGTTTGACCTCCCTCCGTGCTTCAACGATAGAGTGTGCCAAATACAGGGCTGATTGTACCCGGGTTTGACTTTATTCCCTGCGGCGATGATGAAAAGTGATGGCGATGGTACGTGGGTGCAGAATGAAATCAAACGTCAAAAATAAGAAGAGACCTTCAAAAAAACAAAACACATACACACAAAATGAGGGAAATTGGAGCCCGGAGGTGTTTTTTTTTTTCTGCACTCGCACAGGTGGGTGAAAGAAGCATTTTTTCTTCTGTCTTCCACGACTGCACCGCGTTTGTCCTTGTTTTTGTGTTTCCCTCCTTTGACTCCCCAGTGGCAATGCCGTCTTTCTTTTCGCTGACTTCCTCCCCCGCCCCACCCACCTACAAGTCACTCCACCCGCACCCCGCATGCCTCCCTCCAGAGCAGCGGCGGTGCCGGCATCGAAGTGACAGGCAAGCCACCAAGAAAAGGAGGGTGGTGGATAGATACATATTGTTTTGTTGTTGTTGTTGTTGTTGTGTGTGTGTGTGTGTGTTTGCTCTCTTGTCGTTTTTATTGTGCACATATGATTGAGCAAGAGACTCCACGAGCGGAGAGCAACAGGCAGAAGAATAGACAAGGAAACCCACAGAGAAGAAGAAGCAGTAATAGAAGAAACAAAAAAACAAAAAGGTAAAAGCTTCCGCTGATATTATTCTGTCTCTGTGCGTGTTTGCACCATCAACCCCAGCTTCCCTTCTCGCACCCATCGTCGCCATCGCCACCCATCATTTTATATTTTTTTTGCCCACAGCGGCGGCCAGTTGGAGTTGTTGACTTTCCACTTTTTTGTTCTTCCGTAGATGCCTTTTGGCTTTTCTTACATCTAAGAGGGGTGAATAAAGTCGCGGTTTTTGTTCTTGTTGATTACATAAGTGCGCGACTGCGTGGTAGAGTTCATTGCGGCTGCGTCGGTGTGTACGTGTCTGCCGACTACAGTACGATGCCCTTGTGGTTTGCGTGCGACCGCGTGTGTGTAAATCTTCTACTTTGTCTTTCTATGTATCTGTTGCATCCCGCACCCCTCTTCTTGCCGTGGACGTTCCACTTTTCTTCTTTTTGTGCGTTGCGGCGTGTCCTTGCTGGCTCCTGCGTGCCTCCAACATTCACGCACACAGACGAAGGACACAGGGAATAAGAAGAGGGTCCAGGGCACTTTACTTTGCCTATCCTCCCACACTTTACGCACAGACGAAGCAGAACCCACACGGGTGAAAGTAAGTGAGTCAGTGCACGCGCAGGCATGAAGATCAGGGCGCAGGATCGCATCACTTTCCCGGAGGGCGTTGAGGTGTCCGTAAAGGACCGCGTCGTCACCGTCAAGGGTAAGCGCGGCACACTCACAAAGGACCTCCGTCACCTGCAGCTGGACTTCCGTGTGAACAAGAAGTTCCGCACCTTCACCGCCGTCCGTTGGTTTGGCACAAAGATCAATAACTCCACCATCAACACGGCACTGTCGCACGTGCGCAACATGTTCACGGGTGTGACAAAGGGCTTCCGCTTCAAGATTCGATTTGCCTACGCGCACTTTCCCATCTCCGTCTCTGTGGAGAATCAGCTTGTGGAGATCCGCAACTTCCTTGGGGAGAAACGTGTTCGCCGGCAGCTCATATCCGATAGCGTCAAGGTCTACCGCACAGACCCCTCCATTGTGAAGGACGAACTTGTGCTGGAGGGCAATGACCTGGAGGAAGTCTCGCGCGAGGCCGCCGTGATGCATCA